ACGGGGGAGGAAGTTGTGCACCTGGAGAGGCCACTGAGAGGCGAGAGCTGGGCTGGGGGAGGCTGACTTGGAGACGACTTAGGCCTGCAGAGTCTGCCGGAGGCAGGAGCTGGCACTGGAGAGGCCGACTTGAGGGCAACTTGGGCCTGCAGAGGCCGCCAGGAGGAAGAACCGGGCCCAGAGAGGCCGGCTGGAGGAAATTCAGGGCCTGGAGAGGATGCAAAGCAGCAAATGCTAGGCCTGGAAAGGCTGCCATCGAGGCATGAACTTGGCCTGCCTACAGAGCTCTGGCTGGAGAAAGGTTTGGGCCTATGAAGCCAGGTGGGAGCTGGGCAGAAGCTTAGTGCACAGAGGTTGCTTGTTGCAAGGCAGGAGTCGGGCCTATTGATGCAACCAAGAGGAAGGGGAAGGGCTGGGCCTGGAGAGGCTGCCACGAAGGAGGCCAAGAATGGGCCTCTATAGACCAACGGAAGGCATTGGCTGGCCCTGGAGGGGCCCACTTGGGGCCCCGTGATGTGCCTGGAGAGGGAGCCAGGAGTCCGGAGCTGGGACTGGAGAGGCTGACTTCAGGATGATGTGGGGGCCTGCAAAGGCTGCCGGGAGGCCCCAGCTGGGCCTAGAGGAGTCGCCTGGAGGAAGTTTAGGGGCCTTGAGACTCCAGCAGAGGTCACGAGCTGAGCCTCCTGGAGAGGCCGCCATGAGGCCTGAGCTGGGCCTGGAGAGCTTGGGTGAGGAAGTTTTGGGCCTACAAAGGCCGCTTGTAGCTGGGCGGGAGCTCAGTCCAAAGAGGTTCCTGTGAGGCAGGAGTTGGGCCTGTAGAGGCAACCAGAAGGAAGACCTGGGCCTGGAGAGGACGCCAGGAGGCTGCAGCCAGGTCTGGAGAGGCCGACTTGAGGAGCTTCTGGGCCTGGAGAGGCCGCCAAAGGGGACAACCTGGGCCCAAAAGGCTCTTGTGAGTGGTGAGCTGGGCCTGAGGAGGCCATTGGGAGGCAGGAGTGGGGCCTATCGAAGCTGCCAGAAGGCAGGAGCTTTGGACTGGGGTGGCCGCGGTGAGGCTGCAGCCTGGGTGTGGGAGAGTCCTCTGTGAGGCAGAGGCTGGGCCTGTATACGGGCCGTCGGGAGGCAGGAGGCTGGACCCGTAGACACAGACTGGAGGTCAAGTTCTGGGCCTGGGGAGGCCGGCAAAAGTCAGAAGCGGGGCCTGGGAAGGCTGTCGAGAGGCACGAGCTGGGCTGGGCCTAAAGAGGCCACTGGGAGGCCTGAGGAACTGGGCCTGGAGAGGCTGACCGGAGGAAGTTGTGCGCCTTTAGAGGCCACCAAGAGGTGAGAGCTGGGCCGGGGTGAGGCCAACTTGAGGGCAACTTGGGCCTGCAGAGGCCGCCAGGAGGAAGAGCTGGGCCTGGAGAGGCCAACTGGAGGAAGTGCAGGGCCTGGAGAGGATGAAAGGCAAGAAACGCTAGGCCTGGAAAGACCACCGTCATGGCATGAACTTGGCCTTCTGAGGCCACTGGGAGACAGGAGCTCAGCCTGCAGAGGCTGCGGAAGGGCCAGAGCTTGTCCCGAGGGGGCC